TCAACCATCATCAGCATCCCACACTGGCCGCAGGATCACACGGCTCCCAGAGGCCGCAGGACAGAGGCCGAGGCCATGGAGAATGGGGCTTTGTCCGGCTCTCTCCAAAAGGGTTCAGACGCCACAAGAGGCGGAGAGGTCAAAGGCCAACAGTCTAGACAGTGGCAGCCCAAAGGGGGCCGGCTGTGCGGGGCAGATTTCCACGAGCCATCCCCTCCACCCAGTCACTTCCCCAGGGCACGGGAGTGCAGATGTAAACATACCAGCGGGTCTCGCTCCCTGGAAGAAACTTCCAAGACTAAAAGGCATCTTGAATCTACTTCTCCAGCTCTTCCATCTGCCCCAGAGTGGATACTTTCTGTTCTAGACGTTTCTATGCCAGCAATGAGCAGAAGAGCGGAGCAGGAAATTCCATTTTGTTTTTTGTTTTGTTTTGTTTTGTTTTGGAGACGGAGTCTTGCTATGTTGCCCAGTCTGGAATGCAGTGGCGCGATCTCGGCCCACTGCAACCTCCACCTCCCGGGTTCAAGCAATTCTCCTGCCTCAGCCTCCCGAGTAGCTGGGATTACAGGTGCGCACCTGACTAATTTTTGTATTTTCAGTACAGACGGGGTTTTGCTATGTTGGCCAGGCTGGTCCCAAACTCCTGGCCTCAAGCAATCAGCCTGCCTTGGCCTCCCAACGTACTGGGATAATAGGCGTAAGCCACCGTGCCTGGCCCCCTTTTTTCCCTCAATTTTGAGACAGGGTCTTTCTCTGTTGCCCAGGCTGGGGTACAGTGGTGTAATCACGGCTTACTGCAGCCTCCACCTCCCGGGCTCAGATAAGCCTCCCAACTCAGCCTCCCAAGTAGCTGGGACTACAGGTGCTTGTTACCACACCTGGCTAATTTTTTTTTTTTTTTTTAATTTATGTAGAGATGGGGTCTTGCCATGCTGCCCAGGACTGGTCTTGAACTCCTGGGCTCAAGCAATCCTCCCACCTCAGCCTCCCAAAGCACTGGGATCATAGACATGAACCATCTACAGGATTCCCCTCCTTGCCCAGAAACTACTGCCATCTGGGACATTTCCTCCACACATCTGGCTCTGATGGAGAAGCTGTGAACTCGGCCCCCACCCCCTGTCCCTGCCCAGCCCTGCCTCTCCAAGTAGCCTCAGGCTTGTTCCAGCCCTTGATTGCAGCAGGTGGGCTAGGTGGCCCCAAGCTCAGCCCACTCACCTTGAATTCCTGCTTCTTCCTTTCTTTCCTTTCCACTCCATCTTATTTCTTTTTTGAGCTACATCCCCACACACATACCACTGACCTTTGTGGTGGGGAGGGGGTGCTAGGGGCCGAATAAAGGAATAAAGTGCACAGACTTGGGGCATCTTAAAAGAGATGCCATCATCAAGCTGGTCAGGGCACCAGGTGCCCCGATCGCTGTCCCTGTACCCCTGTTCCCTGCTTCAGCACCCTCCATGAGGACTCATCAGGGAAGCCCCCCAATCACTTCTCACCTTTCTCCCCCAGCCTTCCCACCACACCCCTCAGCCTGTCTTTCCACCATTGACACTTGCCACTCCTATTCCTCTTCCCAACACCTGCCAAGTCCCACCCACTTTGCAGACCCTTCCTATGCCACATGTAGCCCCTACTCCAGGTTCTGAAAATGAGGCGAGAGGGAATGGGACTTGGTCCTTACCTTCTTGCATGAGGATTTTTTTTTTTTTTTTTTTTTTTTGAGACAAGGTCTTGCTCTGTTGCCCAGGCTGGACTATAGTGGTGTGATCATGGCTCACTGGGGCTTCAACCTCCCAGGCACAGGTGATCCTCCTGCCTCAGCCTCCTGAGTATCTGGGACCACAGGCATGCACCACCACATCTGGCTAATTTTTGTATGTTTTGGTAGATGTGGGGGCTCTTGCTATGTTCCCCAGGCTGGTCTTGAACTCCTGGGCTCAAGAGATTCTCCTGCCTCAACCTCCCAAAGTGCTAGGATTACAGGTGTGAGTCACCAAACCTAGCCCACGTGATGCTATTCTAAGCTGAGACCCAACAAAGGTGGAAAAACACACCATACAATGCATAGATGAGTTCCACCAAAAGAAAAATATTTGTAAAAAACTCGGCCAGGCGCGATAGCTCACACCTGTTATCCCAGCACTTTGGGAGGCGAAGGCAGGCGGATCACCTGAGGTCAGGATTTCAAGACCAGCCTGGCCAACATGGCGAGGCTGCATTTCTACTAAAAATACAAAAATTAGCCAAGCATGGTGGTGTGTACCTGTAATCCCAGCTACTCGGGAGGCTGAGGCAGGAGACTTTTGTAAACCCAGGAGGCGGAGGTTGCAGTGAGCTGAGATCACACCATTGCACTCTAGCCCGGGGGACAGTGTGAGAGTCCGTCTCAAAAAATAAGAACAAAAAATAACAATGAGAAAATGTAAATGAGCCAAATGTTGTGCATTATGAGGAAGGATGGGATACTGGCTTGACTCGGTGAGGAAATGTGAACACAAATGTCCCTGCAAGAACACAAAGATTGGGCCGGGCGCGGTGGCTCAAGCCTGTAATCCCAGCACTTTGGGAGGCCGAGACGGGTGGATCACGAGGTCAGGAGATCGAGACCATCCTGGCGAACACGGTGAAACCCCGTCTCTACTAAAAAAAAATACAAAAAACTAGCCGGGCGAGGTGGTGGGCACCTGTAGTCCCAGCTACTCGGGAGGCTGAGGCAAGAGAATGGTGTGAACCCGGGAGGCAGAGCTTGCAGTGAGCCGAGATCTGGCCACTGCACTCCAGCCTGGGTGACAGAGCAAGACTCTGTCTCAAAAAAAGAAAAAAGAACACAAAGATGACACACACACACTTGACAATGAGCAGACAATAGGTTATATCTCTAAGGAGCTATGTCACACGGTGCTTTAAACACAGAGGTGAAATGAAGACAAAAGAAAGATGGAGCCTGGGGCAGGTGCTTAGCTCAGTTCAGGCCTGGCACACCCTCTTCCCCATGTTGCCCGTCTTAGCTAGATCTGTTTTCTCCTCAGAGGCCCACAGACGAGACCTTTGAGGAACAGAGCAAGATGAAGTCTGAAGTTGTTTTCCACAAGACCTCTGGGTGATCCCTGAGTCTTCAGTTGTTCCCCACATTCAAAAGAGGCCACAGTTTCCCTTCACAGAAGCTGGGGGGACAGATGCAGTGCTGCCTCCCACACTCGATTTCTCAGGACACAGAGAGCTACCAGGGGTGTGGAGGGGGCATTTCGAGCAAAAAGAAGGCTGGAGTGGAGGGAACAATAGTGTCCCTACTCATTTCCACCTGCCAGTCACAGTCCACACCCACTGCCAGGCACCTACTGCAAGTCACCTACCAGCATCCACCTTCCCCTCCAGAGAAAGCCCAAGGCTTGGAAAACGTGTTTCACAGAAACCCATCATCCCAGTTCCCAAATGATCTAGAAACCCAACAGAGGTAGGAACCACTGCCAGCATTGGAACTGGAGACAAGGAAGGTGAACGCTGAAGAAAACAAAACTCTCAGTTGTTTTAAAAAAGAACTGGGCTGGGATCAGTGGCTCATAAGTGGATAATAAGTGCCTGTTATCCCAGCACTTTGGGAGACCGAGAAGGGAGGATCGCTTGGAGTCCAGGAGTTCGAGACCAGCCTGGGCAACATGGCAAAACTCTGTCTGTACAAAAAATTTAAAAATTAGCCAGGTGTGGTGGTACATGCCTGTAGTTCCAGCTACTCAGGAGGCTGAGATGGGAGGATCACTTGAGCCCAGGAGGTGGAGGCTGCAGTGATCCATGATCACACTACTGTACTCCAGCCTGGTCAACAGAACAAGACCCTGTCTCTCTCTGTCTGTCTGTCTCTCTCTCTCACACACACACACACACACACACACACACAACCCTAGATGTTGGGAAACCAACAAGATCAGATTCCAACTGTGTCACACGCAGGGAAACAGTATAGCCACATATCCCCAGGCCAAAATAGAAACTGATTTCCAGAACGTGCATTTCACTCAATTGGTTTCACTGTAGGGGTCGTCCTCTCTCCCTGATGGGTATCAAGATCTGGCTGAACTTACATCATCTGAGGAACGTTACATCATTTCATCCCTGTCTAGAGTTCAAGGTTACCAGGAAGTGAGATAAAATTTGACTCCTGACTCCTGGGCGAGTATCCAAAACCAATCTACATAAAACCCCTTGGCCGCCCGGAATTCCTCCTGCTCAGACATGCCGGGACATGCAAAGCTGCCAACTCCAGCCCCCAGGCCTCCGTTTTGAGACCCCCCCACCACCCTGCTAAGGGAACAACAAACTCGTTCCGGCACCAAAACCTTGAAGCTCCAGGCCAGAAGTGGAGGGGGCGGGTTTCCGCTGCTGTGGAGTTTACATATTAAAAAAGAAAAGTCAAAAGCAGACAAAATCCGCCTTCTCACAGATGGCCCTGGTCTCCATGGCGACAGCTCATAGCTCGGTGTTGAAAGGACCATGACCCCCATGGCCACATCTGGGGCAGCAGTCCCACCCCGTCGCCTGGCCACCGACCCCATGCCTTAAGCAAGGGGTCCTCATTTTTGGCCCTAAAACCAAGACATGCCATCTTAAGTCCAGTTGTTTTTTTGAGACAGAATCTCGCTCTGTCACCCAGGCTGGAGTGCAGCCGTGCAATCGCAGCTCACTGCAACCTCTGCCTCCCGGGTTCAAGCGATTCTCCAGCCTCAGCCTCCCAAGTAGCTAGGACTGCAGGCATGCACCACCACGCCCAGCTAATGTTTATATTTTTAGTAGAGGCAGGGTTTCACCATGTTGGCTAGGCTGGTCTCGAACTCCTGATCTCAAGTGATCCACCCACCCTGGCCTCCCAAAGTGCTGGGATTACAGCCATGAGCCACTGCGCCCAGCCAAGACATGGCATCTTAAGTCCAATTTTCAGGGCAGGAGGCAAAAGTGGCCTCACCCCGGCATGGGGGGAAAAAAGACACTTTTGTTGTTGGCTGAAAAGCCTGCATTTTAACCAAAGGGAATATAAATTATTCTGTGCACAAACTAGCACTATTGGTTTAAAAAAAAAAAAAAAAGAGAGAGAGAGAGAAGAAAGAAAGAAAAAAATATGCCATATCCCAGGGTAGCCCCAGAAAGGGCCAGGCTGTTGAGCACAGGTCAAGGTCGAGGACTCAGTGAGAGGCTTTTAAATTTGGTAAAAGCCAGTCTTGGATATAAAGTGAATTCTGAAATTCCTTCACCAACAGACAGGAAAGCAGGTGAACACGTGGCTCCAGCTGTGGTATCGCAGCTCATGGACCCACCAGACCAAGATTCTCCCTGGGCATCTGGACCCCTCAGGCTGGCCTCCCTGGTCACGGCAGCTGTGTCCCCAGATGCAGGGAGGAAAACGGGAGCAAAGAAAATTTTCAGCCACTTCCCTCAAATCAACCGGAGCTTTTGTAGAGAAGGAGGAAGAGGAGATGGGCAGATCAGAATCTCTCTTCCAGATCGGATCCCCAAGTTGAAGAGCTTGTCCTTTCCTGGCCACACCCCAGAGGGTGGATGTCCCCTCGTGGGGTCCCCAGCAGGATGAGGTCTTAGGAGACCTGAGCGTTCCTCAGTGTTTGTGGCAATAGTTGATTTTGCCCTCTGACTGCTCCAGGAGGTCCAGCATCTCCTCAATGATGGCTCTCAGTGCCCTGCCCAGCTGGTCTGCGTTGTATGGCTTCCCCAGAGGGGGCACGTGGACGAAGGCTGATCGACCGTGACTCTGGTACAGAGAGGTGTAGTACGTAAAGTCGCAGAGATATCTAAGCCGCAGGGCGTGGCGGGTAAGAGAGAGACCAAAACGGGGTCAGAGGGGCAATCCGCAGACCAAGGTGACGGCACTCATCCAAACTCGAGGGAAGACCCCAGCCTCACCAGCCACCCACAAGATGGAATAACACTCTCCTCCCTCCCCAGGTTGGCAAAGATGAAAAAAATCACCAGGGTTGGTGGTGCGTGCCTGTAGTCCCAGCTACTCAGGAGGTGGAGGCGGGAGGACTGGTTGAGCCCAGGAGGTCGAGGCTGCAGCGAGCCCTGATTGCACCACTGCACTCAGCCTGGGCAAGAGAGTGAGATCCTGTCTCTTTTAAAAAAACAAAAAACAAAAACAAAAAACTTGATAACTCCCAGTGCTGTGGCACATGTGGGGAAATGGGCAGAGTGAGCTGTTGCTGGTGGGAATGAACACTGGTTATCCCCGTGTGGAAGGCAATTTGGCAGGCTAGTAAAATTATAGTCACCCAGGCTTTACAACCTGGTATTTCCATTTTTTGTTTGTTTATTGAGACAGGGTCTCACTCTGTCACCCAGTCTGGAGTGCAGTGGTGCAATCACAGCTCCCTGTAGCCTCAAACTCCTGGCCTCCAGCGATCCTCCTACCTCAGCCTCCTGAGTAGCTGCCAGTACAGGTGTGCACCATCAGCACCGGCTATATTTTCTGTTTTGTTTTTTTGAGACAGAGTCTGGCTCTGCTGCCCAGGCTGCAGTGCAGTGGCACAATCTCAGCTCAATGCAACTTCTGCCTCCTCAGCTCAAGCGATTCTCCTGCTTCAGCCTCCCGAGTAGCTGGGATTACAGGCGTGGACCACATCACATCTGGCTAATTTTTGTATTTTTAGTAGAGACAGGGTTTCACCATGCTGGCCAGGCTGGGCTGAAACTCCTGACCTCCAGTGATCCGCCTGCCTCAGCCTCCCAAAGTGCTGGGATTACAGGTGTGAGCCACTATGGCTGGCCCTATTTCCAGTTTTTATTTTTATTTATTTTTTTGAGACGGAGTCATATTCTGTCACCCAGGTTGGAGTGGAGTGTTGTGATCTTGGCTCACTTCAACATCCGCCTCCCGGGTTCAAGCAATTCTCCTGCCTCAGCCTCCCAAGTAGCTGGGATTAGCGCCTGCCAGCACGTCCGGCTAATTTTTATATTTATAGTAGAGTCGGGGTTTCACCATGTTGGCCAGGCTGGTCTGGAACTCCTGACCTTGAGTGATTCACCTGCCTTGGCCTCCCAAAGTGCTGGGATTACAGGCATGGGTCACCACCACAGGGAGTGGCTTAGTAAACTCTGGTTTATCCACACCATGGAATCCTATGAAACCATTTACAAGGAATGCGGTACAGCCAGAAAAAAATGGAGAACTCGCCAGATGCATTTTTTTTTTTTTTTTGATACGGAGTTTTGCTCTGTCACCCAGGCTGGAGTGCAGTGGTGCAATCTCGGCTCACTGCAAGCTCCGCCTCCCGGGTTCACGCCATTTTCCTGCCTTAGCCTCCCCAGTAGCTGGGACTACAGGTGCCCGCCACCATGCCCAGCTAATTTTTTGTATTTTTTTTTTTTTTAGTAGAGACGGGGTTTCACCGTGTTAGCCAGGATGGTCTGCATCTCCTGACCTTGTGATCTGCCCGCCTCGGCCTCCCAAAGTGCTGGGATTACAGGACTGAGCGACCGCGCCCGGCCAACCAGATGCATGTTGAATGTTCACAAATGAAAGCTGAGGAAGATAATTGTCAGTAAAGTGTGACTTTCGCCGTGTGACTCCATCCACATAAAAGCAAAGCAAAACAAGACAAAATCGTAAAGCAGCAGGCCAAGTGATGTATATATGTACAGAAACATGTCAGTCAGTAGGAGCTTCATGGTTTCAGTGTCTGACTTATCAGAGGGACCACTATGGAAAAAGAGAGGGAATGAGAATTTTTCCCAATTAGACATATGAGGATACATTCTAGAGTTACCTGTAATTAAAAATTAATTTTATAAAGAGACTGATGGAAGCTGGGTATGGTGGCTCACACCTGTCGTCCCAGCACTTTGGGAGGCTGAGGTGGGAGGATCCCTTGAGTCCAGGAGTTCGAGACCAGCCTGGGCAACATTGCAACACCCTGTCTCTATCAAAAATACAAAAAAATTGGGCTGGGCAGCCAGGCGCGGTGGCTTACGCCTATAATCCCAGCACTTTGGGAGACTAAGGCAGGTGGATCACCTGAGGTCAGGAGTTCAAGACCAGCAGGGCCAACATGGTGAAACGTCTCAACTAAAAATACAAAAATTTTCTGGGCATGGTGGCAGGCACCTGCAGTCCCAGCTACTTGGGAGGCTGAAGCAGGAGAATCACTTGAACCTGGGAGGCAGAGGTTGCAGTGAGCTAAGATTGTGCCATTGCACTCCAGCCTGGGCAATAAGAGCAAAACTCTATCTTAAAAAAAAAAAAATTGGGCTGGGCACGGAGGCTCAACCTGTAATTCTAGCACCTTGGGAGGCCAACGTGGGCGTATTGCTTGAGCTCAGGAGTTCAACACCAGCCTGGGCAACATGGTGAAACACCATCACTACTAAAAATACAAAAATTAGTTTGGTGTTGTGGTGGGTGCCTGTAATCCCAGCTACCCGGGAGGCTGAGGCAGGAGAATCACTTGAACCCAGGAGGTGGAGATTGCAGTGAAACAAGATCGAGCCACTGCACTCCAACCTGGGCGACAAAGCTAGATGCAGTCTCAAAAAAAACCAATAAATAAATAAAATAAAATAAAATAAAATAAAATTAGGCCAGGCGCGATGGCTCATGCCTGTAATCCTAGCACTTTGGGAGGCCGAGGCAGGCGAATCACCTGAGGTCAGGAGTTTGAGACCAGCCTGGCCAACATGATAAAATCCTATCTCTACTAAAAATACAAAAATTAGCTGGGTGTGGTGGCAGGCGCCTATAATCCCAGCCACTCAGGAGGCTGAGGCAGGAGAATCGCTTGAACCCAGGAGGCGGAGGTTGCAGCAAGCCAAGATTGTGCCACGATACTGCAGCCTGGCTCCAGCCTGGGTGACAAAGCAAGACTCTGTCTCAAAAAAAAAACAAAAACAAACAATTAGCTGGGTTTGGTTTGGTTGTGCTACCTGGGAGGCTGAGGTGGGAGGATCACCTAAGCCCAAAAAGTCAAGGCTGCAGTGATCTGTGATTTTGCCACTGCACTCTAGCCTGGGCTACAGAACAAGATCCTGTCAAAACAAACAAACAAACAAATAACAATTAGTTTTCAATTAAAAAAGAGAAAAAAAAGTTAGCTTTAAAAAGAACTCAGTGGTGTGTGGTGGCTTTTGCCTATAATCCCAGCACTTTGGGAGGCCGAGGCAGGAGGATTACTTGAGCCCAGTTATTCAAGAGCTGTCTGGGCAATGTGGCAAGATTCTGTCTCTACAAAAAATAGAAAAATTAGGCCGGGCGCGGTGGCTCAAGCCTGTAATCCCAGCACTTTGGGAGGCCGAGACGGGCGGATCACGAGGTCAGGAGATCGAGACCATCCTGGCTAACACGGTGAAACCCCGTCTCTACTAAAAAATACAAAAAACTAGCCGGGCGCGGTGGCGGGCGCCTGTAGTCCCAACTACTCGGGAGGCTGAGGCAGGAGAATGGCGTGAACCCGGGAGGCGGAGCTTGCAGTGAGCTGAGATCCGGCCACTGCACTCCAGCCTGGGCGGCAGAGCGAGACTCCGTCTCAAAAAAAAAAAAAAAAAAAAATAGAAAAATTAGCTGGATGTGGTGCTGTGCATCTGTAGTCCCCGCCACTTGGGAGGCTGAGGCAGGGGGGATCACTTAATCTCAGGAGGTCGAGGCTGCAGTGAGCCCTGATTATACCACTGGACTGCAGCCTAGGCAACAGAGTGAGACCCTGTCTCCAAAAACAAAAATCCTGACGGTAAATCCAGGCACTCCTTCCTTCAGCCAATCAACTGCACTGACCAACAGCCGCCTTCGAGTTGGACAAGCACACAGATTAGGGAGAAGTGAGGAAGCCAGTGCTGGGAGGGTATAACTTGGTCTGGGGAGTTGGAGAGGCCTACAAGTCACAAGGAGGTGACTCGTGTTGGAGTTAAGACTGGAAAGAGGGCCAGGAGCAGTGGCTCAGGCCTGTAATCCCAGCACTTTGGGAGGCTGAGGCAGGTGGATCACTTGAGGTCGGGAGTTCGAGACCACCCTAGTGTGGCCAAAATGGCGAAACCCCGCCTCTACTAAAAATACAAAAGTTAGCCGGATATGATGGCGCACGCCTGTAATCCCAGCTACTTGGGAGGCTGGGGCAGGAGAATCACTTGAACATCAGAGGCGGAGGTTGCAGTGAGCCAAGATCGCGCCATTGCACTCCAGCCTGTGCAACAGAGCGAGACTCCATCTCGAAAAACAAAAACAAAAAAAAGACTGGAAAGAGGAGTTCCCAGAGGAAGGTGTTTTGGGCAGAGGCCATAGGGCATGCAAAGGCCCTGAGGCTGGAGTGAGCTTGGTGTGTTTGAGGAGCAGGAGGAAGCCGGTTTATGTGTCTGGACTGCAATGGACATGGGGTGATTAGAGGCAGAGCAGGGTGGAGAGGCGGGCCAAGCACCAGGGTTAGATTTTATTCTATGTGCAATGGGAGCCATAGGGAAGGTCTAGGAAAGGGACACATGCATTTATTTATTTAGAGCCAACAGTGTCTTGTTCTGTCACCCAGGCTGGAGTACAGTGGCGCTATCACAGCTCACTGCAGCCTCGAACTCCAGGCTCCAGCAATCCTCCCGCCTCAGTCTGCCATTTTTTTTATTTGTTAAGATGGGGTCTTCTTATGTTGCCCAGGTTGATCTTGAACTCCTGGGCTCAAGTGATCCTCCTGCCTTAGCCTCCCAAAGTGCTAGGATTATAGGTGTGAACCACTGCACCTGGCCCTGATTTAAATTTATAAAAGAACTTTTGCAATAGGTTGGATCATCTCCTCAACATTCATATTCACCTGGGACCTCAGAATGTGACGTTATTTGGGCTAGGTTTGGTGGCTCATGCCTGTAATCCCAGCACTTTAGGAGGCTGAGGAGGATGGATCACCTGAAGTTGGGAGCTCGAGACCAGCCTGACCAACATGGTGAAACCCCATCTCTACTAAAAATACAAAAAATTAGCTGGGCGTGATGACGCATGCCTGTAATCCTAGCTACTTGGTAGCCTGGAGCAGGAGAGTTGTTTGAATCCAGAAGGCGGAGGTTGCAGTGAGCCGAGATTGCGCCACTGCATTCCAGCCTGGACAACAAGAGTAAAACTCCGTCTCAAAAAAAAAAAAAGAATGTCATCTTATTTGGAAAGAGGATCTTTGCAGACGTAATTAGTTACATTAAGATGAGGTCAGCTGGGCACAGTGGCTCACGCCTGTAATCCCAACACTTTGGGAGGCGGAGGTGGGCGGATCACTGGAGGTCGGGAGTTCGAGACCAGCCTGACCAACATGGAGAAATTCTGTCCCTAATAAAAATACAGAATTAGTCATGCGTAGTGGTGCATGCCTATAATTACAAATACAAAATTAGTCACGCGTAGTGGTGGAAACTACTTGGGAGCCTGGCGCAGGAGAACTGCTTGAATCCAAGAGGTGGAGGTTGCAGTGAGCTGAGATCACGCTATTGCACTCCAGCCTGGGCAACAAGAGCAAAACTCCATCTCAAAAAAATTTAAAAAAAAAAAAAAAAAAAAAAGATGAGGTTATACTGGATTAGGATGAGTCCTAAATATGACTGGTGTCCTAATAAGAAGACCATATGGCCATACACAAAGTGCAGAAGGTGATGTGAGGATGGGGGCGGGGACTGGAGTGATGTGTCTACAATCCAAGGATGGTTGGGAGCCACCAGCTGCAGGAGAGATGCCTGGGACAGATTCACCCTCAGCACCTCCAGAAGGAACCAGTCCTGCTACCACTTTGACCTTGGACTTCTGACTTCCAAGGCTGTTACACAACACGCTTCTGTTATGTGAAACCACCCGGTTTGTGGGTATTTGTTACAGCAGCTCCAGGAAATTAACATAGAAACTGACTGATTGGGTTGCGGTGGAGGCAGCAGGGAGGAAGACTGAGGTGGAGCCTGGGGCACTGTCCAGGTGGAAGATGCTGGGGGCCGCGGTGGGGACCGTGATGGTGGGGAGAAGTGGGCAGATCCATGAGTCCCAGGAGCAGAATCGACAGCACCTGCTACATACAAATACTTGGCTCTGTGCCTCGTATACACTGAGTGCTTGGTCCAAAGAGGCCAAGGTCAACACGCTTGACTTGTTCCACATCAGACTCAGCGAGTGGAGGAGGGAAATCCCCACTCACCCCCACCCCACAGGGCCCTACCTGCCAGCATCCTGTGAGATGGTCACCGACACATCCAGGCCCAACGTGGTGACTCGCTTGCACACAGCGTCCATGTCGATGATGGAGTCAATGCTTTCAGGCCCATCCTCCACGCAGCACTGGGAGCCGGGGCAGAAGCGGCAGTTGTCCAGCCCCTTGTAGCCCTTGTTGTGTCCACATTTCTCCAGTGTGACTGTGGTCGCCATGCCTGACACCCCCACATGCACCACCAGCTGCATATAGACAGGGGCAGGACTTAACATGGCCTGCCCATGGGACTCGGAGGAGGTCCCCCTGAGGCCAAGGAAAAGGCAGCATCCTTACTGGGCTCTGCCTGGGGTTGTGTTATTTCTGACCTCCTGCTGCTGGAATAGACCCTGCAGTCACTCTTGCAAAAAGGTATGCCACGTAAGACAGGCAAGAATTTGAAACATGCAAGGCTGTTCATTGCAGCTCTTCCTGTTATCGAAATCAAATACTGGAAAAAAGCTAACTAGCCATCCAGAGGGAGTTAGTTCAATAAATAATGAGCTACTATGCAGCTGTTAAAATGCCAGCACAGTGTTTTTATTTGTTTCTTTGTTTGTTGAAATGGAGTCTTGCTCTGTCGCCCAGGCTGGAGTGCAATGGTGCGATCTCAGCTCACTGCAACCTCCCCCTCCTGGGTTTAAGTGATTCTCCGGTCTCAGCCTCCTGAGTAGCTGGGATTACAGATGTGTGCCACCACACCCGGCTAATTTTGTATTTTTAGTAGAGACGGGGTTTCACCATGTTGGCCAGGCTGGTCTCGAACTCCTGACCTCCGGTGATCCGCCCACTTTGGCATCCCAAAGTGCTGGGATTACAGGCGTGAGCTACCATGCCCAGTCTTGTTTGTTTGTTTTTGTAAGAGACAGGATCTTGCTCTGTTGCCCAGGCAGGAGTGCAGTGGCACAAAAAATCTTGGCTCACTATAGTTTTAAACTCCTGGGCTTGAGCAATCCTCCTGCCTCAGCCTTCTGAATAGCTGGAAGTATAAGCGTGCACCATCATGCCTAATTTTTAAATTTTTTTGTAGAGATGGGGTCTCACTACGCTGCCCAGGCTGGTCTCAAACTCCTGGACTCAAGCAATCCTCCTGCCGCAGTCTTCCAAAGTGCTGGGATTGCAGACATGAGCCACTACCCTTGGCCTGGATAGCCCTTTGGGTTTTTTGAGACTAAGTCTCGCTCTGCTGCCCAGGCTGGAGTGCCGTGGCACAATCTCGGCTCACTGCAACCTCCGCCTCCTGGTTGCAAGCGATTCTCCTGCCTCAGCCTCCCGAGTAGCTGGGACTACAAGTGCCCGCCACCATACCTGGCTAATTTTTTGTATTTTTAGTAGAGATAGGGTTTCGCCATGTTGCCCAGGCTGGTCGCGAACTCCTGAGCTCAGGTGATCCATCTGCCTCGGCCTCCCAACGTGCTGGGATTCCAGGCGTGAGCCACCGTGCCGGGCCTGAAAAGCCCTTTTGAAGACAAGACCGTGTGGCATTGGTCACGTGATCCGATCAGGAACAAAGCCACCTAAGTCCTCCACATGAAGGGTGCCAACCTGTAAGTCCTGATGAGGAAGCACCGCCCCTCGGCACCACTCACCTGTGGACTGTGCTTCTCCCACAGGGCAGGGATGAGTCTCTGGACCGTTTTGTACTCAACTGGAATCTCGTACACGTGCAGGTCCACACTGTCGCCAAGGCCTAGCTTTTCCAGCTCCTGGAAGAGAAGAGAGTGGCAGTGTCGTGGCCCCGTGGCCCCTGACGGCAGCTATGGGGATAATGCGCTCCCTGGGGGTAAAACAAACAGGCCCGCTCTTCTGACTTATTCTGCAGGATGGGAAGTGGTGAGTGTTGATTGAGTTCAAAGCCCCTCATTTCCTTCCCCACCCACTTGCCTCGAAGTCTCTCTGCATCTCTATGGAAGGTGACATGATTCTATGGCCCCTGGGGTTAAATCCCAGGCTCCTTGGAATCAATCCTGCCTGTGTGACCTTAGGCAATCCACTTAACTCTCAGAGTCTCAGTTTCCTCATCTGTAAAATGGGAATAACAGAGTATCAGGCCGGGCGCGGTGGCTCAGGCCTGTAATCCCAGCACTTTGGGAGGCCAAGGTAGGCAGATCACCTTGAGGTCTGGAGTTCGAGCCCAGTCTGGCCAACATGGTGTAATCCCATCTCTACTAAAAATACAAGAATTAGCCGGTGTGGTAGCATACGCCTGTAATCCCAGCTACTTGGGAGGCTGAGGCAGAATTGCTTGAACCTGGGAGGCAGAGGTTGTAGCGAGCCGAGATCACATAACTGCACTCCAGCCTGGGCAACAAGAGCAAAACTCCATCTCAAAAAAAAAAAAAAAAAAAAAAAGCCAGGCGTGGTGGCTCACGCCTTTAATCCCAGCACTTTGGGCGGATCACCTGAGGTCAGTAGTTTGAGATCAACCTGGCCAACGTCGTGAAACCCCATCTGTACTAAAAAATACAAAAATTAGCTAGGCGTGGTGGCAGGTGCCTGTAATCCCAGCTACTCAGGAGGCTGAGGCAGGAGTATGGCTTTAACCCGGGAGGCAGAGATTGCAGTGAGCCGAGATTGCACCACGGCACTCCAACCTGGGTAACGAGAGTAAAACTCTGTCTCAAGGAAAAAAAAAAAAAAAAAATTCAACCTGTTTCCAAGTAACTCAGCAGTATCCCAGAAGAAAGCTCAAGAACACTGAGAAGTGGCTGAGTACAGTGGCTCACGCCTGTAATCTCAGCACTTTGGGAGGCTGAGGCAGGTGGAACACCTGAGGTCAGGAGTTCGAGACCACCCTGGTCAACATGGAAAAACCCTGTCTTCATTAAAAATACAAAAATTAGCCAGGCGCGGTGGCTCAAACCTGTAATCCCAGCACTTTGGGAGGCCGAGACGGGCGGATCACGAGGTCAGGAGATCGAGACCATCCTGGCTAACACGGTGAAACCCCGTCTCTACTAAAAAATACAAAAAACTAGCCGGGCGAGGTGGCGGGCGCCTGTAGTCCCAGCTACTCGGGAGGCTGAGGCAGGAGAATGGTGGGAACCCAGGAGGCGGAGCTTGCAGTGAGCTGAGATTCGGCCACTGCACTCCAGCCTGGGCGGCAGAGAGAGACTCCGTCTCAAAAAAAAAAAAAAATACAAAAATTATCTGGGCATGATGGTGCACGCCTGCACTCCCAGTTACCCGGGAGGCTGAGGCACGAGAATGGCTTGAATCTGGGAGGTGGAGGTTGCAGTGTGAGCCCAGATCATGCCACTGCACTCCAGCCTGGGCGACAGAGCAAGACTCTGTCTCAAAAAAAAAAAAACAAAAAAAAATCAAAAAAACAAAAAAACAAAACAAAAAAAATTATATTTTTCAAAGGTCCCACCATCCATTCCCTTAACAAACCTGCACTGATTCCCATCTTCACACCACAGAGGTGACAGGGCATGGCATACATCATGCAGATCTGTTTCTTCCGCCTTTCTTTTTTTTTTTTTTTTTTTTGAGACAGAGTCTTGCTGTTTCGCCCAGGCTGGACTGCAGTGGTGCTATCTCGGCTCACTGCAAACTCCGCCTCCCGGGTTCATGCCATTCTCCTGCCTCAGCCTCCCCAGTAGCTGGGACTACAGGTGCCCGCCACCACACCTGGCTAATTTTTTGTATTTTTAGTAGATACGGGGTTTCACCATGTTAGCCAGGATGGTCTCGATATCCTGACCTCATGATCCGCCCACCTCGGCCTCCCAAAGTGCTGGGATTACAGGCGTGAGTCCCTCTCTTTCTTTCTTTCTTTTTGAGATGGATTATCAAAAGTCATTTAGTGGTACAATCTTGTCTTACTACAACCTCTGCTTCCCAGGCTCAAGAGATTCTTCCGCCTCAGCCTCCGGAGTACTGGGATTACAAGGTGCCCGCCACCACACCCAACTAATTTTTGTATTTTTAGGAGAGACGGGGTTTCATCATGTTGGCCAGGATGGTTTCCAATTCCTAAGATCAAGTGATCCGCCCCCTTCTTGGCCTCCCACAGTGCTGGGATTACAGGCAGGAGCCACTGCACTCAGCCCCATGGAGACCTGTTTCTAATTTCTTATTCACACACCTGAGAAATCCCATAGTATTTTTGCTTTTAGAGATGGGGTCTTACTACATTGCCCAGGCTGGTCTTGAACTCCTAGACTCAGGTGATCCTCCCATCTTAGCCTTAGTTGAGACTACAGGCATGTACCACCACACCTGGCTTGTTTTTACATCAATTTTATCTTTTTTTTTTTTTTTTGAGATGGAGTTTCGCTCTTGTTGCCCAGGCTGGAGTGCACTGGCATGATATCGGCTCACCGCAATCTCCACCTCCTGGGTTCAAGCGATTCTCCTGCCTCAGCCTCCTGAGTAGCTGGGATTACAGGCATGCGCCACCACACCTGGCTAATTTTGTATTTTTAGTAGAGACAGGGTTTCTCCATGTTGGTCAGGCTGGTCTCAAACTTCTAACCTCAGGTGATCTGCCCACCTCTGCCTCTCAAAGCACTGGGATTATAGGCGTGAGCCACTGTGCCTGGCTCGATTTTATCTTTTTAAAAAAATTGTATTGAGACAAAGTCTAACAGCACATAAAAGTTTTTTTTTTTAGACGGAGTCTCGTTCTGTCGCCCAGGCTAGAGTGCAGTGGCACGATCTAAGCTCACTGCAACCTCCGCCTCTTGGGTTCAAGCGATTCCCCTGTCCCAGTCTCCCGAGTAGCTGGGATTACAGGCACATACCACCATGCCTGGCTAATTTTTGTATTTTTAGTAGAGACGGCGTTTCACGATGTTGGCCAGGATGGTCTCCATCTCCTGACCTCATAATCCACCCGCCTTGGCCTCCCAAAGTGCTGTGATTACAGGTGTGAGCCACCACGCCTGGCCAAAAGTTTTTTTTTTTTTTTTTTTGAGACGGAGTCTTGCTCTGCCCCTCGGGCTGGAGTGCCGTGGCTGGATCTCAGCTCACTGCAAGCTCCGCCTCCCAGGTTTACGCCATTCTCCTGCCTCAGCCTCCCCTGTAGCTGGGACTACAGGCTCCCGCCACCTCACCCAGTTAGTTTTTTGTATTTTTTAGTAGACACGGGGTTTCACCATGTTAGCCAGGATGGTCTCGATCTCCTGTCCTCGTGATCTGCCCATCTCGGCCTCCCAAAGTGCTGGGATTACAGGCTTGAGCCACCGCGCCCGGCCAAAGTAAAGTTTTTAAAAAGATTTACTGCTGCTTTTCCATTCATAGTCAGTAAAAAAAAAAAAAAATTCTGAGACAGGGTCCAGCTCCGGTCACTGAGGCTGGAGTGCAGTGGCACCATCAGCGCTCGCTGCAGCCTTGACCTCCAGGGTTCAAGTGATCTTCCTACCTCAGCCTTCCAAAGTGCTGGGATGACAGGCATGAGCCACTGTGCCCAGCCATTGATTTTATCCTGCAACTGTGTTTGCTCCACTCAGCAGTCTATCTAGGAGATCTATCTACATTACTCTATGGAGATCTCAGCGTCCCCTTTTCTCTGCTGCATAATACTCTGTCTCAGAAACAAGTCACCATGGATTTAAACATTCCCCTACATTGGAACATCTAAGTGGCTTCTGATTTCCTTATTGTAAAGCCATGCTGCAGTGAACATGCTCATGCAAACTTCTCATGCTGATGGGTGGGGAATAAATGCCAAACAGGGCATTGCTGCACTGCAGATCAGTCAATACACAATTGCTATTGAGAGAGATCATCACACTGAAGCCTGATTTTCCCACCTCATATTCAATACGTCTCAGAGGAGACAACTTTTCAGTTTGTAAATGCGTCTTCCCCTAATCTTCAAGAGGAGAACCCACAGAGCTCTTTTCTCTCTTAAAAACAAATCAGCAGGCCAGGTGCAGTGGCTCATGCCTGTAGTCCCAGCACTTTGGAACGTCGAGGCAGATAGATCATTTGAGGTCAGGAGTTTGAGACCAGCCTGGCCAACATGGTGAAACCCCGTCTCTACTAAAAACACAAAAAATTAGCCAGGCGTGGTGGTGCATGACTGTAGCCTCAGCTACTCGGGAGGCTGAGGCAGGAGAATCGCTTGAACTTGGGAGGTGGAGGTTGCAGTGAGCCAAGATCACAACACTGCACTCCAGCCAGAGTCTCGCTCTGTCTCAAAACAAACCAACAAACAAAACACAAATCAGCAGCCAGGCACAGTGGCTCATGCCTGTAATCCCAGCTACTGGGGCGGATCACTTGAGGCCAGGAGTTCGAGGTCAGCCTGGGCAACATTGTGAGACCCCCATCTCAAAAAAACAAAAACCAAAACAAAAAGCCCCCACACCCCAAATGACACAAAAAGCACAGACAATAAAAGAAAAAAATTGATAAACTGGATTTCATCAAAATTAAAAAAAAAATTAAACTATCTAAAAGAGTGAGTAATCTCTGTCTGGACCAACCTGGAGGGATTTCCAGGCAAGACCTATGGCAAGACTGCACCACCTTCTGGACAAGGAAGGAATGGAAGCGGGGGATGGGGACGGGAGGGAGACTTCTCTGCAAAAAACTCATCACGATTTTGACTTTTGAACCATGTCAATGTTTTACAAAATCAAAAAATAAAATAAAACAACCCATAGTCCCATATCAACAGATCTGCCTCTTTTCTGTCTTCTCCCTAATGGGCACAAGGTGATGCCTTGAGTCTCATGGGATGTGTTACTTTAAA